CATCAATAAGTGCATCGATGACGTCGTCCCCACAGTGACTGTACGTACATACCCCAACCAGAAGCCATGGATTACAGGCAACATCCGCACTGAGCTAAAGGGTAGAGTTGCTGCTTTCAAGGAGCAGGACTCTAACCCGGAAGCTTATAAGAAATCCCGCTATGCCCTCCGACGAACCATCAAACAGGCAAAGCGTCAATACAGGACTAAGATCGAATTGTACTACACTGGCTCCGACACTCATCGGATGTGGCAGGGATTGCAAACTATTACAGACTACAAAGGGAAGCACACCCGCGAGCTGCCCAGTGACACGAGCCTACCAGACGAGCTAAATTAATTCTATGCTCGCTTCGAGGCAAGTAACACTGAAACATGCACGAGAGCATCAGCTGTTCCGGAGGACTGTGTGATCACGCGCTCCGTAACCGATGTGAGTAAGACCTTTAAACAGGTCAACATTCAGACGGATTACCAGGTGGTGTACTCCGAGCATGAGCTGACCAACTGGCAAGTGTCTTCACTGACATTTTCAACCTCTCCCTGTCTGAGTCTGTAATACCAACATGTTTCAAGCAGACCACCATAGTCCCTGTGCCCAAGAACACTAAGGTAACCTGCCTAAATGACTACCGACCCATAGCACTCACATCTGTAGCCATGAAGTGCTTTGAAAGGCTGGTCATGGCTCACATCAACACCATTATCCCAGTAACCCTAGACCCACTCCAATTTGCATACCGCCCCAACAGATCCACAGATGATGCAATCTCTATTGCGCTCCACACTGCTCTTTCACACCTGGACAAAAGGAACACCTACAGTGGGGAAAAACAGTATTTAGTCAGCCACCAATTGTGCAAGTTCTCCCACTTAAAAAGATGAGAGAGGCCTGTAATTTTCATCATAGGTACACGTCAACTATGACAGACAAATTGAGAAAAAAAATCCAGAAATTCACATTGTAGGATTTTTTATGAATTTATTTGCAAATTATGGTGGAAAATAAGTATTTGGTCACCTACAAACAAGCAAGATTTCTGGCTCTCACAGACCTGTAACTTCTTCTTTAAGAGGCTCCTCTGTCCTCCACTCGTTACCTGTATTAATGGCACCTGTTTGAACTTGTTATCAGTATAAAAGACACCTGTCCACAACCTCAAACAGTCACACTCCAAACTCCACTATGGCCAAGACCAAAGAGCTGTCAAAGGACACCAGAAACAAATTTGTAGACCTGCACCAGGCTGGGAAGACTGAATCTGCAATAGGTAAGCAGCTTGGTTTGAAGAAATCAACAATGTCATATGGTCAGATGAAACCAAAATATAACTTTTTGGTAAAAACTCAACTCGTCGTGTTTGGAGGACAAAGAATGCTGAGTTGCATCCAAAGAACACCATACCTACTGTGAAGCATGGGGGTGGAAACATCATGCTTTGGGGCTGTTTTTCTGCAAAGGGACCAGGACGACTGATCCGTGTAAAGGAAAGAATGAATGGGGCCATGTATCGTGAGATTTTGAGTGAAAACCTCCTTCCATCAGCAAGGGCATTAAAGATGAAATGTGGCTGGGTCTTTCAGCATGACAATGATCCCAAACACACCGCCCGGGCAACGAAGGAGTGGCTTCGTAAGAAGCATTTCAAGGTCCTGGAGTGGCCTAGCCAGTCTCCAGATCTCAACCCCATAGAAAATCTTTGGAGGGAGTTGAAAGTCCGTGTTGCCCAGCAACAGCCCCAAAACATCACTGCTCTAGAGGAGATCTGCATGGAGGAATGGGCCAAAATACCAGCAACAGTGTGTGAAAACCTTGTGAAGACTTACAGAAAATGTTTGACCTGTGTCATTGCCAACAAAGGATATATAACAAAGTATTGAGAAACTTTTGTTATTGACCAAATATTTATTTTCCACCATAATTTGCAAATAAATTCATTAAAATTCCTACAATGTGATTTTCTGGAAAAAAAAATCTCATTTTGTCTGTCATAGTTGACGTGTACCTATGATGAAGATTACAGGCCTCTCTCATCTTTTTAAGTGGGAGAACTTGCACAATTGGTGGCTGACTAAATACTTTTTTTCCCCACTGTATGTGAGAATGCTATTCATTGACTACAGCTCAGCGTTCGACACCATAGTGCCCTCAAAGCTCATCACTAAGCTAAGGACCCTGGGACTAAACACCTCCCTCTGCAACTGGATCCTGGACTTCCTGATGGGCCGCCCCCAGGTGGTAAGGGTAGGTAACAACACAACACGGGGGCCCTTCAGGGGTGCGTGCTCAGTCCCCTCCTGTGCTCTCTGTTCATCCATGACTGCATGACCAGGCAGGACTCCAACACCATTAAGTTTGCCGACGACACAACAGTGGTAGGCCTGATCACCGACAACGAGGAGACAGCCTATAGGGAGGAGGTCAGAGACCTGGTCATGTGGTGCCAGGATAACAACCTCTCCCTCAACATGATCAAGACAAAGGAGATGATTGTGGACTATAGGAAAAAGAAGAGGACAAAGCACGCCCCCATTCTCATCGACGGGGCTGTAGTGGAGCAGGTTTAGAGCTTCAAGTTCCTTGGTGTCCACATCACCAACAAACCAACATGGTCCAAGCACACCAAGACAGTCATGAAGAGGGCACGACAAAACCTATTCCCCCTAAGGAGACTGAAAAGATTTGGCATGGGTCCTCAGATCCTCAAAAAGTTATACAGCTGCACCATCCAGAGCATCCTGACTGGTTGCATCACTGCCTGGTATGGCAACTGCTTGGCCTCCGACCGCAAGGCACTACAGATGGTAGTGCGTACGGCCCAGTACATCACTGGGGCCAAGCTTCCTGCCATCCAGGACCTCTATACCATGCAGTGTTAGTGGATGGCCCTAAAAATTGTCAAAGACTTCAGCCACCCTAGTTATCGACTGTTCTCTTTGCTACTGCACGGCAAGTGGTACCGGAACACCAAGTCTAGGTCCAAGAGGCTTCTAAACAGCTTCTACCCCCAAGCCATAAGACTCCTGAACATCTAATCAAATGGCTACGCCGAGCTGTAATCAATGAATAGTATTCTCACATAGGTGTTCCTTTTGTCCAGGTGGGAAATGGCAGTGTGGAGTGCAATAAAGATTGCATCATCTGTTGCTCTGTTGGGGCGGTATGCAAATTGGAGCGGGTCTAGGGTTTCTGGGATAATGGTGTTGATGTGATCCATGACCAGCCTTTAAAAGCACTTCATGGCTAGAAAGAGAGAGATGGACAGAATAAGAAAGGTAGGTGAGAACAGAGGTAGTAAGTGGGAGAAAAATAGGGAGAGATCACTCACACCTTGTACACGAGAGACCTGCCTCACTTACTTCAAGCATCTCCTAAAGAAGTCGAACCACCTTCAGATTTATGAAGGCATAAATCCACAACTAATCTTAAATACATCCATGATTAAACACATACAGGATCCCATATGGGATACATTTGATTAAAAGTCATTTTCTTTTGTTGGAGCTGCTTGATTAAATAAAGAAATGCATATGTATGGAGTTTGGGAACTCCTCAGGGTACGTGGCTGATTAAAATGATGTTGCCCACCACATATTCATCGGCGTTGGCCGGATTAAATAAAGCACCGGAGACTGCAGGAGGAGAAAGTAGCGCAGCTAACTCACATTACCATGACAATACGAGAAAGAGGGCAAGTGCATGCATACGTGTTTAGTATAGCAGTATTGTCAAGGAATCCACTCCAGATAAAAGTGTAAGAAATAGAGAGAGAGGGAGGTTCCTTGTGGCTCCCAAGAGGAATGTAATGACATGGACCAGTCAGAACAGCAGGCCCCTGCTGGTGTCCTGGAGAGCCCTGAGGCCCGGGACAGCGATGAGGGCAGTGACCCAGTCAGCAGCAGCAGTAGCGTCAGCAGCAGTAGCAGTGAGGAAAGCGGAGCCAGGGAAGAGAGAGCCCCTGCTCCCTCCAGCAGTACTCCTGAGCCACCTGCAGAGGGCGCCATGGAAAGCGGCAGCCTGGACACGGGGACCAGTGAGGAGCCCATGGAGCAGGACTAGGACCTCAGCATCCATCTGACTATTTAGAACATCTGTCCTCAAGTCCAGCTTGAGTGTCACCGGTGAAGGGGATGCGCCATCCTGGTCCCCTAGATACTTTACGGCTTGTCTAAATTTTGGGCACTCCTCAAAATGACCACCTGATGTGGGCATAAACATTTTATTTTGAATCAAATATTTTTTAACTGGATTTCCTTTTTTCTACACTATTTCTGAGTTCCATTTTAAGGCTTGTGGTCTCTAGAGGTTTTTGTTTCAGCCTTGATCAGTCTTTGGAGTTGCAGATTATGCTTGTTGTAGATGTGCTGATAGGACGGGGTGTTCATCTGGCAATTGTTTTCCCTCATCAGTTTAAGCTTTTGGCAGGAAAGGTAAAGCAGGCAGTTTTGTTCCTGTAGCCAGTTTCTCTCTGTGGATTATCACCCCAGCCACACCAGAGTCGAGACAAAGCTATCCCCGCTAATTAACTTCCTCATTATTTATGCCGTCAGTTACTCACTCCAGCAATGAACTAGCTAGAATCATTTCTGTTTCTGACTGAAGCACAAGCCTTAGCATCGGGTGCCAATGACATGGATGTCGATTAAGGCAGCCCCTCCGCACCTCTTTGAGGGGTGGGGTTAAATGCGGAAGATATTTCAGTTGAATGCAGGTAGCGGCAGGGGCGGCAGGTAGCTTAGTGGTTAAGAGCGTTGTGCCAGTAACCGAAAGGTCGCTGGTTCTAATCCCTGAGCCGACTAGGTGAAAAATCTGTTGATGTGCCCTTGAGCAAGGCACTTAACCCTAATTGCTAATGTAAGTCGCTCTGGATAAGAGCGTCTGCTAAATGTAAAATGTAAATACCTTATTGTGGACAGAATAAACTTGCATTGAGCTACGTGAACCACAAATCAGCTCTGTGAGATAACATGCATACCTCCCATTACTAATGTTAAGTTCAGTGTTGCCTCAGAGCTCTGTTCTGGAGATGCCTGGTTATCCTTAGTCTGTTCCTGCTCTTACAGGAACCGCCCGTCTTACAGTTTCCACTGCGAGCCTGCAACCAGGGCCTGCAGGCAGTTCAGGAACTTGGTCTTCCAGACCAGGAAGTCAGCCTGCATGCTGCCATTACGGGTCTTCACTACGTTGCAGTTGCCATCTCCTCTGGACAGAACACAAATGCCACTCAAATGCTGTCCAAGTGCTTACTCACCTAAAGGAGAGGGAAGAAGGGGTTGAATTATGTGTTTTCAGTGAGCCTAGAGAAAGTGGATGGTTAGCTATTGGACAGGAGAGAACAGTCATAGTGGTAATGGTAATCAACTGAATGAGCTTAGTATTCTAGTGTGTACAAAAAGAGGAATGTATAATATGCAAAAAAATATCCATAAAAGTATCAGACAAGCAAAGAAACTGATTGCATTTCATAAGTGTAAGTAGCACCACACATAGTGGAAACATATCAATGGGAGAAATGTTTTGTCAGATCTCTTACCGTATTGTAGTGGCTGCCATACACAGAGTTTCCCAGGCCAAACACTGCATATCTCAGTCTATTCAGGTAGGTTTCCCCATATCTGAAGTCAGTGGATGCCTCCTCCAGCCACTTACAGAACCATTCTCTGTGGGCTGTCCGTCAGTGTACATTTACATTTTAGTCATTTAGCAGACGCTCTTATCCAGAGCGACTTACAGGAGCAATTAGGGTTAAGTGCCTTGCTCAAGGGCACATCGACAGCTTTTTCACCTAGTCGGCTCAGGGATTAGAACCAGCGAACTTTCGGTTACTGGCACAACACTCTTAACCACTAAGCTACCTGCCGTACATAGCTAATAGGAACACACTGACTTGTTGGAGCACTGGAGAGAGAGAGATGGAAAGTGGAAGAATATGTAGCATAGACATATAGAATAAGGATAAATGATATATCTGGTATATACATCCAGTGAGACAGAAATGGCCCCATTTCCTTATAAAGTACAATACATTTGGCCAGAGCCAAATGAAGTGCACTTCATAGGAATGAGGATGCAGCTATGGACAACCTACTGCATTGCATGCAACCAGAATGAAAGTAGGAATCAATAACAGAACAGCAGCATAGGGAGTACTATGATGAAGTATGAGGACAACAATTTGAAGGCAGAACAAATCTCCAAAGCAGAGCAACATTGTAAATGATTTAAGCCCTACAGGGCAGCCAGTGTAGGGTGCCCTTAGCCCCATGGTTTCCTACGGCAAAGAGCTGCCTGCAACACTCTATGCTGCTCAAGGGAGAGAGCATCATGACTGATCACTGGGTACAGAGAGTCAATGCACTGAGCATCTGTAACTAGATCTCTGGGCCGGTGGCCGGGCTGAGCACCTGTGGTCAATTCTCTTTGGGGAGAGGGATTTTCATCTCCAAACTGTAAAGTATCCCTGTTGAATAAATGGCAATTTCCTATCAGGCTGCTGCACCAGGCGACCAATCTCCAATTAATTTCTCATATAGAGTGGAGTATTGCAAAACAAAATGGAATACTGATGAAAATAATACATCTTTCCTGGTTGAACAAGATTTATTTAACATATTTATACATGTGCTAGCCATTGGTTTGAAGAATACAAAAAAAATAATTACAAAAAGTGGCAAACTTGAAGCTAAGATAGTAGCACTTCAGTACTGCACGAAATCAGTATGTGAATGATAACATATAATAGTATGGTAACAAGTTATAGTTACTCACAACTTTTAAAATTTAAACATGACTTCCCAGATAGATACCAATTAAGGTCAGTATAATTACAGAATCATTTTCTTCCAGGATAAAGGAAACATCACCTCATCAGCTAGTCTGTCATCTGGTTCATAATCTTCATGTCGATCACTTCAGCTGGCAAGCCCAAAGTCTTCACCTCCTCTGCTAGCTCTATAGCAAAGCCCTGGGACAAATTAATTATCAATGAAAGTTAATTCCAGTATGCAATTCTGCTCATAAAAACCTTGCCCATTCATGTACTGTAATGCTAGCGCCTTTCAGTCCATTCACGAACCTACAGGGCCTTCAGAAAATATTCACGCCCCTAGACTTTTTCCACATTTTGTTGTGTTATAGCCTGAATTTAAAATTGATAAAATGTCGATTTTTTTTGTCAATGGCCTACACACAATACCCTATAATGTCAAAGTGGAATCATGTTGTTTTTTTGTTTTGTTTTTACAAATGAATAAAAAATGAAAAGCTGAAATGTCTTGAGTCAATAAGTATTCAACCCCTTTGTTATGGCAAGCCTAAATAAGATCAGGAGTACAAATTTGCTTAACAAGTCACATAATAAGTTGCATGGACTCCCTCTGTGTGCAATAATAGTGTTTAACATGATTTTTGAATGACTACCTCATCTCTGTACCCCACACATACAATTATCTGTAAGGTCCCTCAGTCGAGCAGTGAATTTCAAACACAGATTCAACCACAAAGACCTGGGAGGTTTTCCAATGCTTAGCAAAGAAGGGCACCTATTGGTAAATGGGTAAAAATAAAAAAAGCAGACATTGAATATCTGTTTGAGAATGGTGAAGTTATTAATTACACTTTGGATGGTGTATCAATACACCCAGTCACTACAAAGATACAGGCGTCCTTCCTAACTCAGATGCCGTAGAGGAAGGAAACCGCTCAGGGATTTCACCATGAGGCCAATGGTGACTTTAAAACAATTACAGAGTTTAATGGCTGTGATAGGAGAAAACTGAGGATGGATCAACAACATTGTAGTTACTCCACAATACTAACCTAATTGACAGAGTGAAAAGCAGGAAGCCTGTAGAGAAAAGATTCCAAAACATGCATCCTGTTTGCGACAAGGCACTAAAGTAATATTGCAAAAAATTTGGCAAAGCAGTTTACTTTTTGTTATGTGTTATGTTTGGGCAAATCCAATACAACACATTACTGAGTACCACTACACATATTTTCAAGCATGGTGGTTAATGCAGCATGTTATGGGTATGCTTGCAATCATTAAGGACTGGGGAGTTTTTCAGGATAAAAAAGAAACGGAATGGAGCTAAGTACAGGCAAACTCCTAGAAGAAAACCTGGTTTAGTCTGCTTTCCACCAGATACTGGGAGATTATTTCACCTTTCAACAGGACAATAACCTACCTAAAGCACAAGGCCAAATCTACACTGGAGTTGCTTACCGAGAAGACAGTGAATGTTCCTGAGTGGCTGAGTTACAGTTTTGACTTAAATCTGCTTGAAAATCTATGGCAAGACCTGAACATGGTTGTCTAGCAATGATCAACAACCATTTTGACAGAACTTGAAGAATTTTGAAAGAATAATGTGCAAATATTGTACAATCCAGGTGTGGAAAGCTCTTAGACTTACCCAAAAAGACTCACAGTTGTAATCGCTGCCAAATGTGCTTCTACAAAGCATTGACTCAGAGGTGTGAACAGTTATGTAAATTATATATTTATTGTATTTAATTTTCAATAAATTTGATACAATTTCTAAAATCATGTTTTCACTTCGTCATTATGGTGTATTGTGTGTAGATGGGTGATTAAAAAAAATATTTAATCCATTCTGAATTCAGGCTGTAACACAACAAAATGTGGAATAAGTCAAGGGGTATGGATACTTTCTGAAGGCACTGTACCTGCCGTGCAGGGCGATTTATTTTGAATCAAATATTTTTTAACTGGATTTCCTTTTTTCTACACTATTTCTGAGTTCCATTTTAAGGCTTGTGGTCTCTAGAGGTTTTTGTTTCAGCCTTGATCAGTCTTTGGAGTTGCAGATTATGCTTGTTGTAGATGTGCTGATAGGACGGGGTGTTCATCTGGCAATTGTTTTCCCTCATCAGTTTAAGCTTTTGGCAGGAAAGGTAAAGCAGGCAGTTTTGTTCCTGTAGCCAGTTTCTCTCTGTGGATTATCACCCCAGCCACACCAGAGTCGAGACAAAGCTATCCCCGCTAATTAACTTCCTCATTATTTATGCCGTCAGTTACTCACTCCAGCAATGAACTAGCTAGAATCATTTCTGTTTCTGACTGAAGCACAAGCCTTAGCATCGGGTGCCAATGACATGGATGTCGATTAAGGCAGCCCCTCCGCACCTCTTTGAGGGGTGGGGTTAAATGCGGAAGATATTTCAGTTGAATGCAGGTAGCGGCAGGGGCGGCAGGTAGCTTAGTGGTTAAGAGCGTTGTGCCAGTAACCGAAAGGTCGCTGGTTCTAATCCCTGAGCCGACTAGTTGAAAAATCTGTTGATGTGCCCTTGAGCAAGGCACTTAACCCTAATTGCTAATGTAAGTCGCTCTGGATAAGAGCGTCTGCTAAATGTAAAATGTAAATACCTTATTGTGGACAGAATAAACTTGCATTGAGCTACGTGAACCACAAATCAGCTCTGTGAGATAACATGCATACCTCCCATTACTAATGTTAAGTTCAGTGTTGCCTCAGAGCTCTGTTCTGGAGATGCCTGGTTATCCTTAGTCTGTTCCTGCTCTTACAGGAACCGCCCGTCTTACAGTTTCCACTGCGAGCCTGCAACCAGGGCCTGCAGGCAGTTCAGGAACTTGGTCTTCCAGACCAGGAAGTCAGCCTGCATGCTGCCATTACGGGTCTTCACTACGTTGCAGTTGCCATCTCCTCTGGACAGAACACAAATGCCACTCAAATGCTGTCCAAGTGCTTACTCACCTAAAGGAGAGGGAAGAAGGGGTTGAATTATGTGTTTTCAGTGAGCCTAGAGAAAGTGGATGGTTAGCTATTGGACAGGAGAGAACAGTCATAGTGGTAATGGTAATCAACTGAATGAGCTTAGTATTCTAGTGTGTACAAAAAGAGGAATGTATAATATGCAAAAAAATATCCATAAAAGTATCAGACAAGCAAAGAAACTGATTGCATTTCATAAGTGTAAGTAGCACCACACATAGTGGAAACATATCAATGGGAGAAATGTTTTGTCAGATCTCTTACCGTATTGTAGTGGCTGCCATACACAGAGTTGCCCAGGCCAAACACTGCATATCTCAGTCTATTCAGGTAGGTTTCCCCATATCTGAAGTCAGTGGATGCCTCCTCCAGCCACTTACAGAACCATTCTCTGTGGGCTGTCCGTCAGTGTACATTTACATTTTAGTCATTTAGCAGACGCTCTTATCCAGAGCGACTTACAGGAGCAATTAGGGTTAAGTGCCTTGCTCAAGGGCACATCGACAGCTTTTTCACCTAGTCGGCTCAGGGATTAGAACCAGCGAACTTTCGGTTACTGGCACAATACTCTTAACCACTAAGCTACCTGCCGTACATAGCTAATAGAAACACACTGACTTGTTGGAGCACTGGAGAGAGAGAGATGGAAAGTGGAAGAATATGTAGCATAGACATATAGAATAAGGATAAATGATATATCTGGTATATACATCCAGTGAGACAGAAATGGCCCCATTTCCTTATAAAGTACAATACATTTGGCCAGAGCCAAATGAAGTGCACTTCATAGGAATGAGGATGCAGCTATGGACAACCTACTGCATTGCATGCAACCAGAATGAAAGTAGGAATCAATAACAGAACAGCAGCATAGGGAGTACTATGATGAAGTATGAGGACAACAATTTGAAGGCAGAACAAATCTCCAAAGCAGAGCAACATTGTAAATGATTTAAGCCCTACAGGGCAGCCAGTGTAGGGTGCCCTTAGCCCCATGGTTTCCTACGGCAAAGAGCTGCCTGCAACACTCTATGCTGCTCAAGGGAGAGAGCATCATGACTGATCACTGGGTACAGAGAGTCAATGCACTGAGCATCTGTAACTAGATCTCTGGGCCGGTGGCCGGGCTGAGCACCTGTGGTCAATTCTCTTTGGGGAGAGGGATTTTCATCTCCAAACTGTAAAGTATCCCTGTTGAATAAATGGCAATTTCCTATCAGGCTGCTGCACCAGGCGACCAATCTCCAATTAATTTCTCATATAGAGTGGAGTATTGCAAAACAAAATGGAATACTGATGAAAATAATACATCTTTCCTGGTTGAACAATATTTATTTAACATATTTATACATGTGCTAGCCATTGGTTTGAAGAATACAAAAAAATAATTACAAAAAGTGGCAAACTTGAAGCTAAGATAGTAGCACTTCAGTACTGCACGAAATCAGTATGTGAATGATAACATATAATAGTATGGTAACAAGTTATAGTTACTCACAACTTTTAAAATTTAAACATGACTTCCCAGATAGATACCAATTAAGGTCAGTATAATTACAGAATCATTTTCTTCCAGGATAAAGGAAACATCACCTCATCAGCTAGTCTGTCATCTGGTTCATAATCTTCATGTCGATCACTTCAGCTGGCAAGCCCAAAGTCTTCACCTCCTCTGCTAGCTCTATAGCAAAGCCCTGGGACAAATTAATTATCAATGAAAGTTAATTCCAGTATGCAATTCTGCTCATAAAAACCTTGCCCATTCATGTACTGTAATGCTAGCGCCTTTCAGTCCATTCACGAACCTACAGGGCCTTCAGAAAATATTCACGCCCCTAGACTTTTTCCACATTTTGTTGTGTTATAGCCTGAATTTAAAATTGATAAAATGTCGATTTTTTTTGTCAATGGCCTACACACAATACCCTATAATGTCAAAGTGGAATCATGCTGTTTTTTTGTTTTGTTTTTACAAATGAATAAAAAATGAAAAGCTGAAATGTCTTGAGTCAATAAGTATTCAACCCCTTTGTTATGGCAAGCCTAAATAAGATCAGGAGTACAAATTTGCTTAACAAGTCACATAATAAGTTGCATGGACTCCCTCTGTGTGCAATAATAGTGTTTAACATGATTTTTGAATGACTACCTCATCTCTGTACCCCACACATACAATTATCTGTAAGGTCCCTCAGTCGAGCAGTGAATTTCAAACACAGATTCAACCACAAAGACCTGGGAGGTTTTCCAATGCTTAGCAAAGAAGGGCACCTATTGGTAAATGGGTAAAAATAAAAAAAGCAGACATTGAATATCTGTTTGAGAATGGTGAAGTTATTAATTACACTTTGGATGGTGTATCAATACACCCAGTCACTACAAAGATACAGGCGTCCTTCCTAACTCAGATGCCGTAGAGGAAGGAAACCGCTCAGGGATTTCACCATGAGGCCAATGGTGACTTTAAAACAATTACAGAGTTTAATGGCTGTGATAGGAGAAAACTGAGGATGGATCAACAACATTGTAGTTACTCCACAATACTAACCTAATTGACAGAGTGAAAAGCAGGAAGCCTGTAGAGAAAAGATTCCAAAACATGCATCCTGTTTGCGACAAGGCACTAAAGTAATATTGCAAAAAATTTGGCAAAGCAGTTTACTTTTTGTTATGTGTTATGTTTGGGCAAATCCAATACAACACATTACTGAGTACCACTACACATATTTTCAAGCATGGTGGTTAATGCAGCATGTTATGGGTATGCTTGCAATCATTAAGGACTGGGGAGTTTTTCAGGATAAAAAAGAAACGGAATGGAGCTAAGTACAGGCAAACTCCTAGAAGAAAACCTGGTTTAGTCTGCTTTCCACCAGATACTGGGAGATTATTTCACCTTTCAACAGGACAATAACCTACCTAAAGCACAAGGCCAAATCTACACTGGAGTTGCTTACCGAGAAGACAGTGAATGTTCCTGAGTGGCTGAGTTACAGTTTTGACTTAAATCTGCTTGAAAATCTATGGCAAGACCTGAACATGGTTGTCTAGCAATGATCAACAACCATTTTGACAGAACTTGAAGAATTCTGAAAGAATAATGTGCAAATATTGTACAATCCAGGTGTGGAAAGCTCTTAGACTTACCCAAAAAGACTCACAGTTGTAATCGCTGCCAAATGTGCTTCTACAAAGCATTGACTCAGAGGTGTGAACAGTTATGTAAATTATATATTTATTGTATTTAATTTTCAATAAATTTGATACAATTTCTAAAATCATGTTTTCACTTCGTCATTATGGTGTATTGTGTGTAGATGGGTGATTAAAAAAAATATTTAATCCATTCTGAATTCAGGCTGTAACACAACAAAATGTGGAATAAGTCAAGGGGTATGGATACTTTCTGAAGGCACTGTACCTGCCGTGCAGGGCGATTATGTTAAGCGCCCCGACGCTCTGTCTAATGTTAATAATCCTCCCTTGCGATACGGTTTTGGAAACCTTTGGATCTTTACTTTCATATCATCAATTTTAATATAAACAATATACTTACTGTACGATGTTTTTTAAAACACGCTTCCAGCTGACTTACGACACTTCCTCCCCATTTGCGCTCCAATGGAAATGTCAGGATAAGAGGGAAGTGTCATATGTCTGCTGGAAGCATGCGGTATTCAAAACACAGCCATGTGAATCTGTGCTAAAACTGCATACAGTAAGTGTATCTTTTGTATTTGTACAATTATTTCTCAGTAATATAAAAGTTAGGCCTAAAGGTTTCCAAAACCATATTGCAAGGGAACGTTTCTAAGCGTCGGGACTGTAGTACACATTGGCCGTGCTGTGGTCCATAAATTCAAATAAGAACCCAAGGGCTGGGTATGCCCCCTTGGGTTCTTGAGAGCTAATAAAAACCATGCATCCCTACAACTATTATTTTCTCAGAAAAATCGAACCCTGTACCACTAAAAAAAAGTCCATGGTTGCAGAATCGCCCTCTTACCTTTGCAGTCCCAGTCTGTGATCCATAGAAGATCTTTACTTCAGATACATTAACCACTTTCTCCTTCTCAACACTGTAACAATTCTTCTTCACAGCTTTGTAGAGCCAGGGGCTCACTGGATTGGTAAGGGTATTCTAATGGGGTACAGAGAAAAATAACTTGTGTGAGGCACATAGATTCAGTTCCAGTGATAGTCATTCATTTGGAGAGCTTGGGACTACAAGGTTCTATCTGCAAAAAGATGATTCTGAGATAATTGGTTTTAAAGTTCCAAACCCTCATTGGTTTGAATGGTGTCAGCTATCTTTATATTGTATTATTTTGAACTTAACAACATTAATTGGGGTATTTAGAGAACTATATAGGTAGAGAACATTGAACAGAACAAGGCTATGTCAACAACTCCATTTTGACAAAAATGCAGATAGTCCCAAGCACTCAATTTTACTCTTGGGGTGCATTTGTAAATTCGCTCTGGCTATCTACTCCCTCGCTATTTCAGAGCACTCTCGTCTGAGTGTGCCAGAGCACAGAATAACTGTTGAATTTACGAACGCTCAACACCGCTTTAATATGGCTGGTGTCAGTAAACGTTGGCAAAAAAGCATAATTAAATTATTGCCAGCTTTCTGGCACTCCAGATTGAATTTACGAACACACCCTAAATTGTTATTATTGCGGTCTGTCTTCCTTGTTCCTGCAAAGACATTATGTTCAGGATTATCCCAAAGGCTGGCAAATGGTGATATCGAGTCGTTTCATCTTACGGCCCAAATGGAATGTATGCAGCCGGCTATACATTCGTATCCCCGAGGACCGGTTTGTGCATAAAATATTCTCCATTCAGGCTGCAAAGGCATACATTTCCTCCTTAACTTGATTTAATGGCGAAAAGGTGATAAAAACTGGGAAAGTATGCATACTTTCTTTATGAAACACCATTTTCCACCACCATTAGCTAATGCTAATCTTGAATGTTGCATATCATTAGTTTTAGAGGAATGATTCCATAAATGTTTCAATTTAATTGCCAATATGCCAACATTCCATTCAAACAATGCAGTCAATCTACAGTCATAAACTGCCTAAAATCAGCTGATGATAGGACTTAGACAAGTTGTAAAAGCAACAAGAACTGATATTGTATCATGTAATAGCACTCACAGCATTCCAAGAAAACAACAAATGAGATATTTATGGTCTGTTTACATATATTTAAAAAAGCTATTTATACAGAACATTGGTATAAAGAAGGCATAGCAGTGCGGTCGTGTACTCTTGTGTGTCTGTGTAAATAGCCAGTTTTTTTCTTTTTTTGTCTTTTGTTGTATATATTCC